AACGTACGTGAGTACGTACCGTAGTATAGTATACTACTATACTATATATATATATATATATATATATATATATATAGTAGTAGAGAGAGAGAGAGAGAGAGAGAGAGAGAGAGAGAGAGTAGAGGATTTTTTTTTAAATATATTGAGAACTTCAAATTTACATTATAAGACATTCGTAAGTATATGGAATGCTTATGTTAAAAGCGATTGTCAAACTTTTGACACTTTTGATAGAGCACCAGAATTTCAATAAAAGTTGAACTATGCATCTCGTACTATCTTGCTATCTTGTTAGTATATTATTTTTCTCCTAGAAGGTTTATAAATTTAGTTCACATAGAAGCAATTTGCTTCTAAGTTCACACACACAAAAACTTTATTTCAATGAAGAATGAAAATGAATGGGCACGAGTATATGTAAAAAGCAAGATGACAAAGAAGCTTTGGTGAAAACTTCACTAAGTATGTAATCAAGCCATTTCATCAATCATATAAAACTCATACTTTTCAAAACTATATAACAGAAGAGTACATTTTGTAACTTTCATGTATTTTGGCATTTGTTTATTTTCTATTAAGTATTATGAAGCTTCTTTGCATATTAATGGTAGCTTTTTCAGCTAACTTAAAAGGTTTTGAAGGCTATATTTTTTGGGTAACATTAAAAAACAAAATTATAGAGAGATAACAAAGAAACAAATAGCAAAAAAAGACAAATTATAGAAAATATGGGGATCAATTCATTGGGAGAGAAGGAAAAATAAACTGAAAATTCTCTTTACATATATAGAAAATTTATATTAAAAAATATATAAAAATTTCTTAACAATAATTCTACAGCAGTATATTACTTATGAAAATAGTGCGTGCCATAAATGTGCAGCGCACGTTCTATTGCTAGTATCAATAAAGCATCTTTTTTCTGTCCTCGCTGTTGTATGGTAAAACTGCTTAATAGATGCAAGCCTTCTTTTCCTAGTAATCGACTGAGTTGTGACACATCAGAAGTATTCATGCAAAGCATCGATTGTTCCGTACTTGTGCCTTAATATTTATGACTTCTTACATAATCGCTTCCTTTATGTCTTTATAGCCAGTTACCTTGTCTACACTGAATAATGTCCTAGAATGATTTTCTTTGCGATTTAGCATAAGTCTTTATTATGGAGTTTGCTTAATCAAGTGTTTCATGTTGATTTCAGGACATAGCAGGCATATTAGCTCAGAGGGCACAGGAGATAGGGAGGTCACCAACAGTGAGAAGTCCCTTCTCGGATGGAGCTCAAGCATCAGGTTACTCATCTTATACTGGTGGCAAGCTTGACGATGTGACAGTCGTCGTTTCTTTGGTTAAAAAGTTCAATTTAGCTTAGAGGGCAGGATATAGGAGGTCACCAACAGTGAGAAGACCCTTCCAGGATGGAGCTCAAACATCAGCTTACTACTCTTATGCTGGTGGCAAGCTTGGTGATGAAACAGGCATCATTCCTTTGGTTGAAAGTTCAATTTCTTGTTAACTCCAGTATTCTTGTATGTATCATTATAATTTTGGCTCTTATTTTTGACAGTCCATTCCTGTACATACCTTTATCTGTATTTATTTGATTAATTAAGATTTTGTTTTAATGAATCCTTCATAGTGATGTTGATTGCTGAACCATTTATTGAATAAGTAATCTCAGCTTGCCCCCAATCAGATACTTTAACGGTGTGGAATCACTGTGGGGATGTTGAGTAGCTTGGCTTTATCGCACGTACAGATACTCCGATGATGTCTTTTATTACACGCCCCTTGTCTCACTCACAACTTGCTCTCCTGTTCTCTCCCCATCTCTCCAACAACTCCTTTCGCACATCAGGAATTTGTTTTGCAGCTGATTCACAGCCCAGGTTGTGGTCCAATAGTTGTAGCTGTTTGGATCTCAGTAGTTGAAATTCATACTGGAAATTCACTTCGCACAACGTAATAATCATGAACTCCAGCATGGCATGTTACACCTGTCTCTACATTGTGATGAAAAGCATGTGGAGCATTGTCTGATAAAACTGTGTTCCTCCCGGGAAAACCATATATTCTTGAACCTTGGATCAATGACATTGATAGTGATTGATTTAGCGGTTTTTTATAAGCCCTTGCAAACGCCATAGTGCTAGTGAATTTGAAACTTTCAATCCCAAAGCCCTAATATCTCGTAATATATGGTACAATCCTATAGAGCTGAAGGGAAGAGTCCATGAGAGAAATTGCACTTTATGAAGTTAATGAAACATTTCCTATGCTATCTCCATGGTGGTTAACTGTAACATGCCTCTCCTTGAAGGATAGGTTTCTGGAGAAACCGTGATGAGTTGAGGTGGAGTTTGGTTGAGACAAAACAATGGTCATTGAGAAAGTGTTTTGAAAGACGAGTGTGGCAATGGGGCTGGTTTTTTTTTTTTGGAGAAGAGAGAAGCCAAAGGGTCATAGTTTTTTCTTTATTTTTTTTAATGTTAAGAAAATGGATTTTAGTTTGTTTTGCTTCCAATGGATACTTGCCTAGATTGGAGGATCTAGAAATGAAAAGCCAATATTGTGTTTTAGAGTTATTTTATGAGAGGTGGGAGACTGAATGACTTCTGATATATAATTGTGCCTCATTATGCAATAAAATAAAAATAAGAAAAATATTGGGCAAAATATGTCTGTCATTCTCGGCCATCATTATCCCCTCACCTTCAATCTAGGTCATTGGATTTATGTCCCTCACTTTCAATCTAGGCCATTGGACTTATATAGTACATTTAGAGTTCTTTGGCTTATACGCTTGTTATGGCCAAAGGCCTAGTTCAAAACCAATGCTAGGGTAGGCCTTTGGATTTTGGGGATGAGCGCCATTAATTCTAGCAACCAAGCCCCAAGAGAAAAGGGGAAAAAAAAAAAAAAAAAAAAAAATAGGCAACCCAACATTGAACGCATTCATGTTATGACAATCAAATATGGGTAAAGTATTGGAAATCAATTTTTTAATTGTTCATCGAGTGATGAGCAGCAACCTACCAAGATTTGGGTTCAAACAAATCCCTTTAGGGCCTAGCTCTATATTCATTGCATATTCTCGTCTGATAGAAAAGCATATTTTTGGTTGGCTTTTTAAAAAGGTTTTCATGATTTTATTTGTCGGTTCGAAAAGAGTGCATGTGAAAATTTTGGGACCAAACAAATGCCCTAAAGGATCCTATAAATGGGGTATCACGCATCTGTATTCTTGCTCGTCTTCGGTTCAACCTTAGAATCATCAGGTATAATATGGACGCGCTGGACAAATCGAGCTCCTGTATGTTTGGCAGCAGCTCTTTTAGTAACTCATTTTGTGCCACTCCGGGCAGCTCTGAATAAACATGACAAAACACACAAAAGCTTTCGAGAGAGTTGGGAGAAGAGGAGGGATTTGGTGTAGGAAAGTGGTAAAATTTAATGGAGGAGTTGTGTGGGAAAATTTGTGTTTTTATTTCTGGTCTTTTCCGGAGAGAAATAAGTGATTGTGGAGAGATGTAGAGAAAGTAGGTTCTAGGATAGAGGAGAATGGAGCTTTGAATGCCAATTTTTTTTAGTCATAGTGAATAGCTAACAAAATAATATAAAGGGAAATATATCGTCCTGACCCCTAAAAAGTTCACTCCTTCCATAGCAAATCCCCCTCCTTTTATCCCAATAAAGAGGGATTGAAATGTTACACACACTTCATTGTACCCCTTTAAATGTCCCAACCGCCTTTATTTTATTTTATTTTATTTTATTTTAATCTTCATTAAGCACCCCAAAATAATTCTTAAATAAAATTATATTGTTTCTCTCTCTTTCTTTTTTATTTATTATTTTTCAAATCCTACTGACCCAACTTTGTATTTTGGTGAATCACTGCAAATATACCCCATGTTACTATTAGAGCAAATGGGAAAAGCGAGAAGAATGGTGCAAAGGGTTAAGTTTATTTGTTTTAAAAGATAAAGATTAAAACTGGGATGATGATGATAATGATAAATAAAAAATAAAGAGAGAAGAGATAAAAAGAGTGTGTGAGTGTCATTTGAGAATAGTTTGGGGCACTTAATGAAGATTGCAAAAAAAAAAAAAACACTTGGAATGAAATATTTGTGAACTTTCTTAGTGGGATAAAGTCGGGGGATCATTATGAAAAAGGGGTTCATAAAGATATTTTCCCTACTTTCTATGGGTTCTCATATTATTATTATATTGTCATGAGTTTGTGCTCAATATGTTTTTGACTTGATTTGAGTTGTTTAATTGATTGTTTGGAGTGTAGTGGTCAATCCAATTGAGCCAAAGCTTCACTTTCCGTAATAAGAACAAGCCTGGGGTCAGTGGTTTAAGCTTGAATCGAGCTCAGACTGGTCCCCAAGCCAAGCCAAGCTCGAAATTGCGGCTCGATTCTTTGAACACTCCGGTAGAGAAAAATGTACAAAGGCTAGGCTCGATGTAACCACTCTTGGCCGAGAGAGAGTTATATGTGACTACTTTTGGTACATCTTTCGAATTAAGGATTCATTTGATTCGCGTGAAAATTTTATTTTAGAGAGAGCTTTCACACACCGGACAGTTCGCCCATGTACCTCTTTGGGTCTGTATGCGTATTCACAGAACACTCACTCTATGGTATGGAAATTCGCTTTCACATGAGTCGACTTGCATTCCCCCAAACCAAACATGAAACTTCTTTCTCATAAAAACCTTTACAGCTGACCAAACGGTTCCTTTACGAGGGGCATAATTGCCATTTCTTGTTTGGCGTGACATCAACGTAGTGCCATTGAACATTGAGCCGATTATCGATAAACGGCCCCTTCATTTGTGATGTTAAAATTTAAGTTCACCAACTGCAAAACAATACAATTTAGATAGAAGTTAGGGCCTGTATTCCCCTTGATTTATCTATTTTTTTTTTTTTCTTTTCACTCTAGACCGTTGGATTTTATTTTATTTCTTTACTTCATAATTTTACACAATTACTTTATTATAGGGTTGTAAAATTATGAGGCATATTTACCTTTTTTTTTTATTAATGAAAACAGGTAAGGGACCTTCTTTCCTATTGATTTACCAAAAACAAAAATTGCATAGGTGCATGGGCCATTTTTGTTGAATGAAAGTAAAGTGGGATTATTTTTTTTATAATTGAAAACAAATATATATAGAAATATTGAAAACGGTTAACATGTAATTGAAAATCAAGATTCAATTGTTTAATTTGCAATTGAAAATTTTGTCAAATCATTAGTTCCTGAAGGAATATGGTGAAAGGGTGGTAGAACACGGTTCCAATCTCACCTGTTAGCATTTAGAAAAAAAAAACTGCCCGGTAACATTAAAAAAAGAAAAGAAAAAAAAGGCTCTTAAATAAAAACAATCAGTCCAATTTCAAAAGTTTCATGTAATGAATACCCAACCATCATTCATTTCGTTGAATTTTTCGTATGACTTTCCTAGAAAAGGTTTGAAAGGTTCAAGTATAAAAGAGCTCTGAACCATCATGACTCCACTACCAAAAATTCCATTTCTCATCTTGGCACGTGCAAGCTCCAAATTAAAACTTAATTCAAATCAGATTCCCTCTACTTTTCCTTGGCCATTCCATAAACATAATTATGTGGAAGTAGTGATCATCATACAACACCTTGCAAGGGCACCACATGCCCATCCTCAACTTATATATCTGGCGGTCCGTAATAATTGTGACATCAAAAGTAAATGGTAAAAAATATCGCATAACATATAAAAAAAATGTAGTTTCAAATTAAATTTCGACGGTAGATCTCTCGGTAATCTAGGTTTGGTTGGCATAGGAGATGTTCTACGCGATGCGCTTGGTGAAACTATTTTTTCTTACGTGGGTCCTATTGGGGTTGCTACGACTAATTTCTTACGTGGGTCCTATTGGGGTTGCTACGACTAATCATGCGAAGCTTGCTTCTTTATTACAAGGTCAGAAGCTCATTATCTTCAAAAATCTAGCTCATTGTTGTATCTACGAGGTGACTCCCTAAATATTATTAATTGGTGTAATAAGAAATCGCGTACCTTATAACTACTTTGGTCTTTTTGGTTCGAAATCATTGATTTAGTTGGGCCTTTTGATGTTTCTTTCATGCATGTTTATCGCGAAGCCAACGATATAGCAAACACCCTTGTTAAAAGATGTGTTTCTTTGCTTTTTCTGTCTTTGTCTTCTGATGTAATTTTTTTTGTTTAAGTTATTTAATAAAGCTTCAAACATTTGTCAAAAAAAATTAGAATATAAGTTTCTAAATTTATTTGCTACTTTTTAATCTTTGGCGAAAAGGGCTATCTATGATTTGTATTCTCTCTCTGTGTTTTCTAATGTAATTTTTTTTGTTTAAGTTATTTAATAAAGCTTCCAACATTTGTCAAAAAAAAAGAAAAAGAAAAAAGAATATAAGTTTCTAAATTTATTTGTTACTTTTTAATCTTTGGCGAAAAGGGCCATCTATGACTTGTGTGATTCGATTAGTCTATGGGCTTGATCTGCCACGTGTTTGGAAGGCATCTAATGCTTTCCATTTGTATCTTTAGAGGGGTGGAAAAGTGAGAAATGCACGCGTGATACTGAATGCTTCCTTGATTGACGATAGTTTATTTTTTAATTTTAGTATATTTATTTCTAATGGAAATCATAATTAAAAATCAGGATAATAGTGAAAGTATTATACTCTTGTTTCGTGTGAATATAAAGAAAAAAATTGTTTCATGCGAGCTGGACCTCATTTCTACAGATGCGGTCCAGAAATATAGAGCATCCACGGTCTATAAAAACAAGTTAGGCAGCGTAAGAAACACAGCCCAACGATAGAGTCAAGCTTGGATTTTGGTTATGATCGCCCAACGATAGAGTCAAGCTCGGATTTTGGTCATGGTCGTGAGTCGGGCCTCCGCTCAAGCCCATCCCCTCTTTTCCATTGCCATCTCGGCAGGAACCGGGAACACATGAAGTAAAAAAGGATCCTATCAACTTGTTATAACCTAGGATCATAGACTTGACCTTACTTCACTTGAGTGTACAAAAATAAAAGAAGACTTTGATTAAGCTTGCTCTTTTTGGTGTGAAGTATTGTCGAATCAAATGCCTAATAAATATGGGTGTGGTTTTTATAAGGTTGCAACTTTAAACAATCCAATTAAGGTGTACCCTCAAATTTTATCATAACTTGTAATTTTGGTGTGAAAATTTTTCGGATTATCTCAAAATCTATTTTCATATCTAATAATAAAATTTCAAATTCTGGAAACGGTTACAATCAAGTAGATAAATAAACATATGAAAATCTTGAAAATGGACAGTCTAGGTAATATGCTGCAAGATACATTATTTCCTAGATTCAATTTTTCTTTTTCATATTCTACATCTCGATGCCGAGATGATCAATTAGAGGGGTTTTTAACATTACAACGACCTTATCCGATGGATTTTTGAAGCGCATATGTAATTCTACATTTTAATGTTGCAACCTCATATATTTTTTTTCCAATAAATATTAATTTACCATAAAAATTAGATAATACAGCAGAACCTTCGAAATAGGCCCTTTAATATATGTGTTAAGTCATATAACTATTACATATCTGATGTTATAATCTATTATTAAATTACTTACCCTAAAAAAAAAACTATTATTAAATTGAGACCTAATGGTTAATTTTTGGTTGTACTATTATCTTAATTGAATCACATCCGTTGAGAATGGGGTTGGGGTCGTGATGGTAACATCATTTGTGCTCCAATTAAGGTCTAGGCGTCTATTCTCATCTAACACATTTCAAAACTATTGATAATTTCAAAAACGGGTAGGATCTCGTCATCCCCACTGAATTACACAACAAAAAAAAAAAAAAAAAAAAAATCACATGACCATTTCCAAAAATGGGTGGGTACAATAATCCCCATTGATCTACCCAAAAGAAAAAGAGGAACATTACCCAAAGGAAAAAGAGGAACCTCATTCAAGTAAAGGCTGAGCCGAGGTGTGGAGCCTTAAGCTCGATGCGATATTCGTAATTATGATTGGAAAAAAATGTGAAAGCGCGTGAGGTTTGTTGACCAAATGAGAGTAAGATCATAATGGCACTTTCCACGCTCTAGCAATTTTTTATGGCGAAAGATTTTATACTCCTTCAGGAGTACAATGTCCATCTAATCTCTTGGGTAAAACTGATGCTAACAATATTTTTTAGAAAACCAAATTTTGGGATGTAATCTTTAGAACCCACCACCCAAACTCAAAGGAATAAATAAAGAAATAAATAAATAAATAAATAAAAGGTATAGTTTGTATAAAGCCGAAGATCTAAACAATCAAAGTAAAGTGCACATTCAAATAGTATTGAAAAATACTGTTTCAATACTGAAAATTTTTTGTGATAGCCTTAAAATATATTTTTATCTCTAATTATAAAATTTGAATCTTAAAAAATAGTGTACATCAAGCAGGTATATAAAAACTTGAAAATCTTGAAAATTGATTTAGAGGGAAAGCCCTAGATGTTCAAGATGTCAAAATCTAAATATTTTAATTTTATAATAATTATCAAGTGATACTTCAATGGATATCAAAATTTGAACTAAAAAAAGTAAAAAAAATTCCCCAGTAGCATTCTACAGTATGCTCCAATAGAGCAATGACGTACACGCTCGTCTTAAAATACACTAAAGAAAAGGGCAAATTCTTATAAATATATTAAAGAAAAAAAAGAAAAGAGAAAATTCTTAAAAATATATTAAAAAAAAGGACGGGCACATCCTGGTAGCAGCTATTTCTTGAACAACTCTAAAGGCGTGTTTGATAAAACCTTGCTAGAATATAAAAATTCTACTTTTTAGAAGCTGAAACATGGCATATCCGGAACATGGCATATCTGGAACCTAGACCCGTGTCAGCAACCAAACGGGCCCTGATCCAGACCCGGGCCAACCCTGGCCCAGTGCCTGGGTATAAGCCCCATCTGTAATGGAAGCCGTTGTGAAAACGCGCGAGGTTGCATTTCATTTGCTAAACCGTCAGGCTTTCTTGCAGACTTACCCAACGGTTTCCATTTATATCCTTCGGTTTCTACTTTCTAATATTATTATAGACGTGAAGGAGCACATTAACTTCTGAGAACTCCATATAGTTGAGGTAGTTTTTTTTACCGATTAATGGGGAGGGATTTGACCGAGTTAAATGGTAATAAGCAGGAATCATTCACCCGTTATTTCCCTCTAGATAATAAATCAGTTATAGAAATAACTTACGAATCCTATGACCTTAGATTTCCAAACAAATTAATGGGAATTTTCCACAAAAAAAAGAAAAGAAGAAGGACTTTTTTTTTTATTTTTTTTAAAGGGATATATGTACTCTTATTCAAATGCTAACAAGAAGTTTATTTGAAATCCTATATTATTTAAAATCCGGCAAGTATAATCTCGCGGGAGCAATTTGTAGAAATACTCCCGTGGGGAAATGGCTTTAGGAGGATTTTACAGCACATGAAAATTTCCTGTTTTGTATTTTTAGATTGATCGCTGTCTTGAGGAGACTATATTGTTAACTTTTTTTTTTTGGTCAAAAACCACTTAGAAATGAAGTTTCCCTTGGAGGGAATGAATTTATGGTCCAGCGGGATCGCATAGAGCAGACTCTTCTTTTATCTGAGAACCATTTAAGGATGGGAGTCTAAAAAGCCAGCGCACCAACCTCTAAAATAGAAAGAGACGAACCAAATTTCCATCTCATCCACACATCCAAAGCCTTGATCAATCTCATCCGTCAAAAAATATTCAAAGATTAGCATAAAACCAATCCGGTTTGTTACCTGCCACCATCTTGGCTACGTGTAAATCTATCTTTATGTGAGAGAGCACACGGCGCAATCCTCGTCTATAACAAAAAGCCATAACAAACTCTCCTTATATACCCCACCCCACCGCCTAAACCACCATTTTCAAGGTCCTCTGCACTTTTTTTTTCTTTCTGAGGTTTTCATCAGGCACTTTGCTTCATTTCATCAAACACTTCCATTTTCAATGGCGTCTAAGGCCCTGTGGATTCTCTCTCTTGTGGTCCTTGTGGCCATGGCCAATGGCCAGAAGGGGTCTTCAGCAGATGCGCCTGCTCCTGATTGCATGAATGTTTTGATGGATATGGCGCCATGTCTTTCTTTTGTTTCAAATGATAGCACGGTGAATAAACCAGAGGATGGGTGCTGCTCTGGTTTGGCGAAGGTGGTTAAAGAGAATCCCATTTGCTTGTGCCAGGCTTTTCAGAACAGTGGGAGCCTTGGGATTTCAATTAACATGACAAGGGCCATGGCTTTGCCTACTGTTTGCAATGTTAAGACTCCCCCTATTAGCAAGTGCTCAGGTAATGGTGGTTCTTCTTTGTTTCGTTTTACTTATTTTTCGGGCCGTTTATGATTTGGTTTTTGCTGGGTTTTTTATTGGAACGGGTTTCAGCTTTTTTTGGGTTTTATTGATATTTTTGTGATGATTTAATGTGTTTTTTTTAATGGTTCATTCGTATGTATGTTATAAGGCTTCTTTGTGTGCTTGTTGTTATGGTTCTCCTTTGTTTCTTTTGCTTCATCACTTTTTTCTGGGTTTATGGGTTTTATAGGATTTTTCATGTTTTGATCTTATAAAAGGTTGTTTGGTTCTTTCCACAAGTAAACCCCCCTGCTTCACCTCCTTGTTCTCACACCCCATGTAAGAATAATGTTAGGTCTCTTTATTTCATTTTATTTTATTTTATTTTTCTTATCACTTCTTTTCTTGGTGTTAATCATATTATATTGTATCACTCTTCTTTATTTTTATAACACTGGTTCTATTTGATGTCATGGTTAATTTAGTATTGAATGCTTAAGATTTTTGTAGTGATTTGGTTAATATATAGGTAGTTAAATTTTCCTAGTTATGATTTAGATGTTCCAGTTGTAGCTAGGCAGCCCTTCCATTAAGCGTTTGTTTTTTCATTTGAAAATTCCTTCTCATTTTTTAGGGTTAAATTTGTTACATAAAATGCCAGTGCACCCATGTTGTTGAGTTTCTCTTTAGCAATTTTGTTGCTAATGGGTTCATTTTTGGTCATTCTCTTTGCTTATATGGTGAATGAAAATGTTTCTTGGCCCTCTCTTAAAAAAAAAAAAAAAAAATTGAGAACATAAAGAACATTAAACTTAGGTAAGTATTTGATGATATGTAAAATAATTTGCTCTTATTCTATGTGATTTGATTTCAGCTCCGGCACCATCACCCAAACCACCGACTCCATCACCGAATGCGCCAGCCCCATCGCCAAAATTGTCACCTGCAGTCACCCCAAGCAAATCTCCTGCACCTAGCGGACCTCATGTTGAGCCACCCACCGAGCCACCTAGCTCTGTTCTCCCCTCCCAGGCACCAAGCCCTGCCCCAGGCATTAGTAAGGCCACCACCTCCCACCCCTTGTTGGCCATCTCCTTTGCTCTCATAGCCCTTCTGGCCTCGGCCGCCATTTCTCATTTCTAAGGGGCATACCTCGTTTTAGATTTATTTTCTTCCGCTTGCCCATCTTAAGTTCTTTTATATTTGATTGGACGGTTCATGTGGGAAGTATCACTTCTTTGCATGTTATGGAGTATGGAGAATTTATTTTCGGACTTTTCATGTTTAGATCTCACACTTTAGACTTCTTGGTGGGTTTAGAATTCTTTGATGTTTTGTGCAGAAATTTGGAGACATTTGAAGCATCATTTATGTGATGATTTTATCGTTAATTCTATTGGACTTTAATATCCATTTATGTGATGATTATATCGTTAAATTCTATTGGACTTTAATATTGGTGTTGATCATTTAGTAGTTCTTTATGTTTCTTTAGAATTCTTATGTTGCTTTATTTTGTTTCTGATTTCTCATGGCGCCGTTGTCCATATAATAGGCGACCCCAATGCGATTTGGTGTGATTGATTTCAGAGGGTGGGTGATCCGCATTACTCCACTTGAATCCCTTATAACTCATTTTGCAATTATTTTTTATTTCTTTACCAAATTTTTTAGTGGTTTGGCCATTTTGGATCATTGATATTGCTGACATGTTTTAAACTAACCACTGATTAAAATTATTGTATTTAACGAGGTTCTTTCTTTAAAAACAGGATGAAGTTTCTATAAGTCCTATGCTTTATGGAAACAAAGCAACGTTAAGCTTTATGAAAACAAAGTAATTTTAAATATAGAAAATACTTTGGCAATATAAATCTAAATCTCCATTCTCCATGATATAAATCTTCATGATGGTTCTAAAATCAATTTTGAATTCTAAAAATAAAAATTGCAGCTC